CTCAATATTGTCCTCTGCTGAAATGAAAGGGAGAATTAGAATTCAGAGACAGACTCCCAGGGAGAATATGAAGACAAAGATTAAGTCAGTGATACAACGTTGACATGCCTTCAGTTCCTGAAAGGTCTTTTTACAAAGTCTCCTCCAGAGCCCTGTTGCTACCACTGCAACTGGTTGGAAAACCCACATTTAGGGAATTAAGAGAAAAGTCTATGATGTGGACTTGGGGATGGGCCAAAAGCTTCACTTGCTGATAAAGGCAAGAGCCTCTTGGCGGGCACACACCCCTCCCCCTGCCCACCCAGACATGAACTGTGTCTAGGCCTTTTCCAACCCCTTACCCAGACATGTCCTGCAGGGCTGGCCTCTCAGAGCTGCAACCCCTCACCCCTACTAGACAAATCCTGTGGGCCAGGCATCTTAGCTACCCCGCCCCCCCTCCACACACCTAGACATACCCTGCTCTCTAACCTCTCTAAGCTGTGTGGACACTGCTTAATGAAGCACCTGCTCCCAACACACACACACACACACACACACCTCACCCTATCCCTATGCCTGTTCCTTGTCCCCTGCACCAGACAGAGGCAGAGAAGTTTCGACTCTACCCTGACAGTTGTGGTCTCTGGTTGGTGACAGCTGGGAATTTCCAATATATCTCATCTTTAAAAATAAAATAATAAACACAAAACAAAACCCCCCACAAAAGCAAGTGTTTCAGGACAAGTGTGGTTTGAAGAGTCCCCTCTAGTGGAGAAAACCTGCTACTTCAGCTTTCTTGGAGCCCAGAAACTCATGGCCCGAGCCAGCTTACCTGCTGGCTCTCAGCTAGGCTCTGGGCTCTGTGTCAGCACACAGTCTACGTCTTTACCTTCCGTCTCTTGCCTCTCTGTTATCTGTGATCCTGTCTACATCCTGACTTCTGTCACAGCACATGTGCCTTCATGCCTTCCTCTTGAACTGCACCTTCAGTCCACCGGCTGCTCTTCTCTGAAATTCAGCGAAGACCACTCTAACTAGCTAGAATGCTGTGAAAGGGCATCCTATCAAGTGGTCTAACTTTAGAGGGCCAAAACAGGGCTGTAGGCCAGAGTCAGTTGAGACTATCTAGTGAACCAGGCTTTCCGAAGGAGGAGCAAGAGGCTCTGACCAAACTCTCTCCTTAACTCCTTGCTGCCCTACTTCCAAGCAAACTCTGGTGTAATGGATTGACCTACACTTCTGAAGCTGTCTGTAGTCAAGCTGCCTGGAGTCCTGTGTGAGGCCAGCTTCCCTCAACAATTCTCCCAGCCCCAGTAGGCCTACTCCCAAAGTCCCAGAATGCACCCTGCCACGCAGACAGCACACCAGCCTGGGCGAAGGGATAGGTATGGGAGAGAAGTGCCAAAAGAAGGAAAGGGGTCAGGTGGGCATGTGCCTGGGGCTCTAGGAAGACAGCAGGGAGGGGTGACCGCAATGGTTCTGCTGGGGGAAGAAAAGAGCACTGGAGAACACCTGCTGGTCCTCAGTGTTTCCCAGAGACATCCTGCCACCCAGGTGAGAGATGGGGCCAGAGCAGGGCAGATTAATGGTTAACCAACTGCAGGAGCACGGAAGTTTCTGGACATGCTCAGGCTTAAAGACTTTTCTTGCCACCGTCCCTCCTCTCACCTTACACTGCTACGCCACAGGGCTCCTGTTCCCCAACAAAGAACTTTCTCGCCTCTATTTCTGCCCTCCAATTCCAGATGGAGCAGTGTGGAGCTGGATAAAGAGGTTCCATATGCCCAGATGCCAGGGAATGGAGCCCGAGAGAGCCTGGGGGCTGAGCAGAGAGAGGGTGGCCCTTCTGACAAGCCGTCCCTTCAGGCGCCTTGGGACCAGCTGTTTGACCCCGGAGGAACTGCCTTTCTTTCTGTCTCCATGGGGGCTCACCTTTAGAAATGACCAAAAAAGCAGGGGCTGGCACACCCACCCCTCATTTACTCTAATCAGGCATGAAATCTTTGTAACTAAGTGAAAAACTGTTTCCCATAAGGGAATCAGTTCCATTCATCATTGTTTGAACTCAGCATATGTGATGGAGAGAAACAGAATACTCACATAGAATGAATTGATAACAGACTGCCCCAGAGGAGGGGTAGTGATGGGGGAAGGAATGGTGTTGGGGTGCTGTGCATATGAGCTGTAAAAACTCCAGCACCTCAAAGCCTGCTTCTTCCAGCTTCTCTGTGGGCAGTCCTGGATTATTCTAGTTAACAGACTGTAACACAATGCTCCTGTCTCTTTATGATCCACATGGGGTGGGAAGGGGGCTTGGCTCTGTGCTCCTGGCCTTTCCATTTGCCATGATGGACAGAAGTATATTGTGCCCCAGTCTCTCTGTGTAGAGACAGCTGTGTGGCAGTGCAGGAAGACAGCTGGGGAGGGGGTGCCTGAAGACAGGAATTGCCTCCTGCACACCAAATCCTGTGTCTTTCAGAGGCAATTTCAAAGAAAGCAAGGTGGAACAGAAACCACAAAACCCCACAAACAGTGCCGACTCCAGTACCAGAAATATTCTGTAGTGCCTAACTGGTGAGCTTAAGCTGCTGCCAGTTGTTGCCCTGTGTATTTAAGCATGTCACTGGTTTCCCCTCCTGCTCCCGTGTCTTCTTGTAACACGCCTCTGAAATAAAGATTAACTGAATAAGTCAGGAGTATTTGTAAGCAAGAGCGGGGCCTCATGGAGGCTGCTCTTTGAAGCTTTCTTTATAACCTCATTTCGAGCACCGACTCCTGTGAAACAGATGCTGAACTTGAACATCTACCACATCTTCAGCTTCTTGTGGTCAAGAACATTGGAAGACAACCCTGCCCTGGCAGTCTAGAGACAGTGAATGTGTTCAGGGAAGCTCTGACAGGGGCCTATCATGGATAGCATGGCTTTGAGTGATAGTCATGCAACATTACTGCCTATTTTTCCCTAAGACTTAGGCCCAAAGGTCAGCAGTTCTCTACCCCCCTTGTATCCAGGCTGTGAGGGTCTCTGATGCCCTGTCAGTGGAAAAGGCCAGCTGAGACTCCTTTGCCAGGCTGTAATCTCTGGATAGAGATCGTCTCAGACTTTAGTACTTTAGGACTCGGAGCTCTTCTTTCCTGCACATGGCTTGAGAAACCACATCCATTTAACTGTTTTGCAGGCCAACTTGCCCCATCCTAATTCTATTTGCTGAGGACACTGAGGGAGCAGAGAGGACAGTCAGTCTTTGTAGGCTTTCTTTTATTAGCAAGTTCCTGGACAGGATCGGCTGTGGCATTGAGGGGACTACTATTAGTTCTGATTAGTACTAGCCAAGTGCCAGCAGGGGCAAGTTGTGGCTGAGGGGGGCTTGGAGGTAAAAGGCAGTGATGACAAGAGGAAGATGGAAAGAAACGCAATCTCCAGGAGTATTAGGACAGATTCCACTACGTTTCCCTGGTTTCTTATCCCTCTCTCAATTTTCTACCCCTAGGATACCCAGTAGAGATCACAGGTAATTACTTCCAGTGGTGCTGGGTAAGGACAGGGTAAGTTAATGAATTCTCTCTTCTTGCCTGGAGGTCAGAGGATAGAGGGCTACTAGCAACTCCTAGAGCTTTCTGGGGTAATTGCAAAAAAGTTGTGCATTTCAATTAAGAAAGGCTCAATTCCTCCAGCCAGGGCTAAGCTCTTCTGGGGATGTTGTTGCATCCACTGGAAGGCCCCGGTGTTCAAAGCTGGCTCAGGGGAAAGAGTGAAGTTTCAAGGTCTGGAAAAGAGGCCCTGAAAGATAGGGGCCTACTGTTGTGTGGAAGGGTACAGAGCTAAGCCTGACTCTCTGAAAATGGCTAGTAGGTCATGTCCTGTCCAACCCAGATACTCATCTGTATGGACCTCAACCACTGCAAAGGATGGATGAGTCTCAAAATGTCTATAGACTGATGTGCTGATGGGCCTCCAGTGATATCTGGCAGCCCCACTCTCCAAACCTACCCACCTCTAAGTCTACTGTACACAGGGATGGCTGTCGACTAGGCTTGCCTGTGATCTTGGCTCTCCACAGAACTGATCATTCATCCCTGCTTTTGCCAGCTACCCACTCTCCTTTCCAGACAGCAGAGACTGACCTGGCACCCCAAGTTTTCCCCCAGCTTCCTCTCCCTCTTATTTCTACCTGAGCTGTTTGAGGAGGTAGCTCCTCCTAGGGCAAGGGTCATGCTAAACAGGTGGATATTTTTCAGAGCCCTAAATGGCCGTTTCAGATGATTCTTTTTGACCGTTTGGATCAAGATTAACAATTATGAAGACTACCTATGGATAAAGAGGGCTTGAATTTTCTAAGAGCCCGATATCCCTCATGGGGTGGGGCAACAAGGAACATATGGAGGGAAACGTTCTCAGATGGGTTCTAAGCAGTCTCTGGAACTCTGAGCAAACTCCCACTCCAACCAGCACCACTGTTGCTCAAACCAAGGGGGCCAGGCCCCAGCTGGGCACAATGCCATGGAAGATGGGGGCAGGAACACTTAACCACGTTCAGCGCCCCGGCACCTCTCTCCCAGCTTTCCGGAACGCGCGTGAATGATGCCTTCTCCTTCCCAATTTCGAGTCCACTGAACCTTTGGAAAGGCCAGTGACCAGCCGCGACTCCAGCGACGAGTGAACGCCTCCCCCCCAAACGGGCCTCTGGCCACAGTGGCCCTGGACTGTCTGGCTTGTGTCACCGAGGCCCTCTGAGCTCCAGCCCTTGGGACAGCTTCGCCACCCCGGCGCGTCCGGGAGCTGCATACTGCCGGCAGGTGCGCCGTGCAAGCGCGCCGCGGAGCGCCGGAGCCACAGCGGCGATGGCCGGGAAGCCCGGGTCGGAGGCGGCAGCTGCGAAAGTGGCAGATCCCGGGTGGATACTCGGCGCCGCAGCCTAGCCGGGGCCGGGGTTGGGACCCCAATGGGACCCCAGAGGGCGCCGCGGGAGGAACCGCCGCGGACGCGCGCTCGGGGGAGGGTGGAGGACGCCGCTTACCCAGCTCGGCGACGTCTGTCTGTCCCTGCGTCCTCCCTCGGTCCGCCTCGGCTGCCGCTTGCCCAGGGCAGAGCGCGCCCGGTCCCTGCCTGCGCGGAGTCACAGCGACGGCCAGGTCCACACGGAGTCCGGATTCATTCCGGTCCGCGGCCCGCGCCGGTTGCCTGTCTGTATTCCTGGGGTGGCCTCCGTGCCGGTGGCGGGCGCGCGGGGACCCGGGCGCGCAGGGGCGTGGGTGCCGACGGGGTCCCTCCCGGGAGGCGCGGAGCCCTTTGCCTTCAGGTTTCCCCAGCGCGACTTTCCGGGCAGCTCTGACATCAGCTATCCCTCGTTTCCTTCCCTTCGGCTCCCGGCCCGCTCGGCCCCATTTCCTCCGAGAACGACTTCCAGCTCCGTGCGCGGCCCGCCGGGCGCGCTCCCCGCTGCTCCGGGGCTCTCGGGTCCCTCGGATCCGATCGTCTGTCCTGGGCTGAGGATCCCCGCAGCTGCGCCCGCCGCCCCCGCTCGGCTCTGCGCGCACCGTGCTGCGCGCGGCTCTGCTCGGCTCCGGCGGCGGCGCCCTCCGCCGGCCTCCTATATTACCGCGCAGCTCATTATCATAGAGGCCGCGTTAACCCCCTCCCCGCCGCCCGCGCCCCGCCCGCGCCCCGCCCGCGCGGGCCGAACCGGCAGCCCGTTCACGGGAGAACGCGGCTGGGTCTGCGGCCATCCGGCTGCCGGCGTTCGCCCAGCTCGGAGGGACCACCGGCCACCTTCATGGCCTAGGGGCGGGAAGATGCTACCAGGCCTGGGGACTCCGGTTGGGTCTAAGCGAGCTGACTGGCTCGGCCTTGGGAAGGGGCTCAGAGTGGCGAGTGCAGCCCGTCCTAGCATCACCTGTCACCCAGCACACCGTACACACCTCCCTCTTCACCCATCTCGGAGTCAGGGGTGAGTGCGGACGAACCTGCCCTGCGGATGGGGTTGAGATGGGGTCTCGGATTTCGCAGAAGCAAATTTCTCCTTCCCGTAAATTCCAGAAAGCCAGCGAGCTGTCAGATGAGGTTTGAAGTTGTCGGTAATTGTTATTTCTACAAGGAGAAAGGGAGCCTGGCTTTTCGTTTCCTTCCAGTTTCCTGCTCCGTGAGGGACCCTGGACTCAGGGCAAGGCCTGACTTGGATAAAGGTGGTGGAGAGCAGAGGAGCGCTTACTTTATCCAGACCGACTAGCCCGCCTCGAGGGTACGGGAAGCAGAGGAGGGTGGCTAAGAGGTTAAGATAATTTATTTTAATAATCTCAGATGAGAGGCTTCTAGATTCCAGGGTGCCTCCGCCCTTGCGACCTCTATTCTATGAAGCGTAGAGTCTGAGTCTCCGCAGCGGTGACCACTGCTTTCCACTCGGGGCCTGCAAGTGAGACCCAAGCGAGTTCCCAGTGTGCGTGGTCCCCACTGGAGACTGAGCACACGAGTTCACTCCACAGGTCTGACAAGCTTCCCCTACTGCCCTCTCGTGGCCATATTCGTTAGTGGTATAAAAATATAAAACAATAAAAGCAGTTTGACTAAAATTCTCAGCAGCAGCAGGGCCTTAAAAAAAGAAAGAGGAAGGAAACAGCCTTATCAACCATCTCAGAAACACACAGGATTATGGAATCCAGGCTTTGCTACAATTATCTGTTCTTTACAAAATCTAAAGTTGGCTAATTCAAAAGTTCTTCAGTTAAGTAATTAATTGACTTAAATGAGTGTCCAGTAAGTTTTGCTGGCTGTTGCTGACTTTGTCCTGTGGAGCCACAAAGAATCTGAGTTGTCTTCCTTCATGCACACCTGAATTTCTTTTGGCACTTATTATTGTTTTGGTAATATGCCAGCTGATTATCCATTCACTCTTCCTCTATTATTTGTATATAAATGGGTATTGTCTTTTTTCTCAGACAATTGTGTTATCCTCTTATCAGAATGCATTGAATTTGTTAAGGAAGATGATATGAAGACTATGCTCAAAGATTCCAGAACACTTGCCATTTGTTCAATGAGAGGAACATCAGCCTGAGCAGCTGCACCTGAAACCAGACTTGGTAGGGCTGAAGTACCTGATAAAGCTCTTAGCGTAATGCTAGAGCCCTTTGGTTCAAACCAAGCCCTGTATGATTGTAGGAGAGGCTATAATAATACAATTTAAATAATTTCAGATACAACTCCCTCCCCTAGGATCTAGAAATAAACTCTTACATGAAGAACTAGGGCACATTATGAAAGTAACCCCTTAGTTCTCCCTGTTCTCCATTCCCCAAGTGTGCCCAGACCTTCCAGAATAAAGGGAGAAGAAGGGAAAGAGAAGGAGAGAAAGCACAACACTTAAACCTTGAAAATTAAGGAAATCAACTCAGGTTCCTGGTTTGTATTTCTACATAACACAGTGATATCCATGAGCCTCCAGCCTTTATGGGCACTGAGCTAACCCAGCTCCTTGACCAGCAGGTAGTCATTTATTTGGCCACAAGTATTTATTAAGAGCAACTTTACTAAATTTCTTCCTTAAATAGAACTGTATTATAGTACTTAATTCTCTCTTCAGAATATTTGCAATTTTAAATTGATACATAGTAATTGTACATATTTATAGGGTACAATGTGACATTTCACTGCATACAACCTGTCAAGGTCAGATTGGGGTAATTAGCATATTGTCATCTCAAACAGTTATTATTTATTTTGCAACACATAATAAGTTACTGCTAACTGTAGCAGCCATACTGTGCTGGAGATACTGGAGTTTAACTGTCCGATCAGCTGTAACTGTGAATCAGATAACCAAATTCTTTCCCCTTCCCAAGCTCTGGTAGCTACCTTCCTACTTTCTAGTTCCATGTGGCCAACTTATTTAGCATCTACGTGTCTTTCTGTGGCTGGCTTCATTCACTGAACATAAAGTGCTCTGGACACATGAATTGCCAGAAAGGAGATAGTTCTGTTCTTTTTTTTTAAGTAACAGTAGTATTCCATCATTCAGTGGACTGATAACCCAACAGGCTCCACACCCCCAGGCTATACCACCTTTATGTGGGTTTTTTGTTGCATCTATCTGGCCTTCTGGTATTTTGTCTCATCCTGCCCAGATGTCAAATTGCAGATCTTGGGGGACTGGTCATTCCTCTCATTTCAACAAGAGGTACAGCCACAGCCCAATGCAGTTGTAGGTAAGTAAGAGGTTTATAGTAAATATCCACCAAAGGAAAGATATGCTCATCTCTGGAAGTTGTAGCAAGTACTACAAGGTTCTTACCCATCTGTCCCAGACACTACTCCTGCAGCCTCACTCTGGGAGGGTCATGTGTGGTTGCACTGCTATTCCTGTGCCCAGCCCTCTTCTTCCCTTGTCACTGCATGGGTGATGTAGGCAAGAAGATGAGAGAAGTGAGAGAAAACAAGCTGTTTTCCAGGGAGGTGCCACTATTTCTATGAAAGGCTGGTCTGCCGAGCACCCTGCTCTGTGTCCCCAGGCCAGACACAGGGCTCCTCAGGTCCCAGCAAGCAAGCCTGTGTGCTGGTGGAGAATGAGCCCAAACGGGCAGCCAGCCCATCTCCAAGGGAGTCCTCTCTCTCTGTCGCAGCAGCAGCTTCAGTCCTACAAATAGATGCCAGTACAGTAGCCCCTTGGATGGTAGGAGGTATTTTTGGTGCTGGAAGCCAGCCACACTCTGGCAGGCTTTCCACTTGAAGTCTGCTCCTTTGAGAGGTGGGGGTGGCAAGCGTCAATGTTTAGCATGGGAAGGGAGTGTTGCCTGGAGTGTGTGCATGCATACATTGAGGGGGCCTAGAGTGGACTGGGGGCTGGGCTCGGGGGCCGTGTGGACCTTGGAGGAGGTGAGTGGGCACTTGCCTGTCAGTGTTTATGGTCATCTTGAGGAAGTACACCAGTTGTCACTAGGCTTGCCTCTGGCTCCCTGAGGTGAACCTGACATGCTACTGTCCACTTGACCCGTCTCCCTCCTGAGATGAGTGTCATCTTTTTCTTGCCTAGCTCCTAAGCTGCCAATATTGAGAGACAGGAACACCGACCCCCTGTAAGTAGACTCTTCATGTCCTGAAGCTGCACCTCACCTTCGCCATGCCGACACTGTCAGGCAGCCGTAGCAGCAGAGGCAGCAGCCTTCACTGCCCCCCTCCCCGCACACTGTTGGCGACAAAGGCATCCATCTGACAGGCCAAGTTCCATGAGTGGAAGTGAGGAAGCGAGAGGCTGCTGGGAAACTCTAGTGGAGGGCCTCTGCCCAGGCAACAGGGCCCAGTGTCAGGGGCCACACAGGAGCAGGGCACATGCTCTGGAGTCTCGGCACCATTCATAAAAATTCTAACCTGACTGTTCCTCCTGTCCTTTGCAAATATCACTTTCCTGTGTACTTTAAACAGTAGCAAGCCTGTTAAGGATTCAAATCAAACACAGCAGCACTTCACTCACTCCTTCCTTCCTAAACTTCCCAGACGCACAGCTTATGTCCCTGTATATTTCATCCTCTTCCCACCTCCTCCTCTCCCCCTATTCACTGAAGTATTACTCTGGGAGCAGAACATCCTCTGTGGACTTGGGTAGGTGAAGCCCAGACCTGGTACCAACAGGGCTCTGGGATGGCCTGCCAGGTCAGAGGCTGCAGAGTAGAGAATGGACTTTGGGCACAGAAGGTGAAAGCCAGGATTCAGGACTCTCTGTGCCTGGTACAAAGTCTGAGAAAGAGCTTGTGATTTGATTTTTTGTTTTCTGAGAGGATTCCTGTGCTACATAGCTTTAGTTGTCAACTTGACACACTTGGGCTGAGGGAGCCTCAGTTGGGAAATTGCCTCCATTGGACTGGCCTATGGCCATGTCTGTGGGGCATTTCTTTGATTGTTGAGTGATATGAGAGAACTCAGCCTACTTTGGGCTGTGCCACTCATGGGCAAGTAGTCCTGTATTGTATAAGAAAGCAGGCTGAGCACAGGCCAGGGGAGCAAGCCAGTAAGCAGCATTCCTCCATGGTCTGTGCTTCAACTCCTGCCTCCAGGCTCCTGCCCTGAGTTCCTACCTTGGGCTCTCTCATTACTGAACTATGACCTGGGAGATGATAGCCAAATAAACCTTTTCCTCCCCAAGTTGGTATTGATTAGAGTGTTCCATCACAGCAACTGAAGGCAAACTAGAATAATTCCCCCAAAGAAAGCACTATTCACTGATCAGTTATTCCCTAGATGACTCTCCTGGTACCTGTTTCCTCATCTATAAAGTAGAACTATTCCTTCCCTGTGTAGCTTGTAAGAACTCAGAAGAAAACCAAGATGCTGACTGAATAGGCGTTATACACTGAGAAGTGTTACATGAATGCACAGGGTTTCTTAAATTCTGGAAGTTCTCCCCAGAGGCAAACCCACTTTGCTCCTACCACAATACATTTCATCCTCGTCTTTGGGTTTCCAAGACAAACGGCTATCCCACCTGTCTCTTTGGTTTCCTCCTCATTTTTCCTGGTGAAAATGTACTTCATCCTCGTCTTTGGGTTTCCAAGACAAACGGCTTGGCTTGACATTTAGGTGGCTGCACTGTCTTTCCTATCCCACCTGTCTCTTTGGTTTCCTCCTCATTTTTCCTGGTGAAAATGTAACTTGCCACCTTCCCCTATGGAATCATGAAGCAAATGCATGCTAGACCAACCCTTGTGCCCAGTCAGTACAGATCCTGCCCCCAGGTAGGAGAAGGGGGGTGGGTGGCAAACATGCCTTGATTGCACAGGAGGCAGAGGACCCTGGTTCTCATGACTGACTTGTTAGGAGTTGCATCTTTGGGGTCACCAGCTGGGAGGTTATTGATATTGTGAAGTCACTGTCCTCCCTGGCTTTGGTGCCCAGCCCAGGTCAGATGACAGGTGCTCTAAGCTCTTCAGTGGGAGCTATACTCCAGGGCTTTCTGAAAAGTCT